TCAGTAAAGTAGAAAAGATAAAATATTAATGCCATCCAACCAACTTCAGATTTATGTTATGATATATATGTAATTATACTTTATGTATAAGTAAATTATGTGTAATTATGTATATTTATACATGACACATCATTCCCTTCAACTGGTCTCCTAACTATAATTGTTCTTGACAACGTAGACAGACTCAGTCAATATTTATTTCTTCCCTTCATATTAAAACAGGTTGCGCTCAACAACGTATTATGATATTTAGGTTTATTTTGTAATTTTGTCCTATAAACAATTTTACAAAAAGAACGTATTGTGTTTGTGTTTCAGAAATCCTCCTTGTGTGTTTCTTGTTGGAAGACTGGGCTAAGATTCCTCCTGAGGTAGCCACAAAGATCAGACGTATCTTCTCCCAGAACTCCAGAAGCTGGCCTGAGGTACGTGATCTAAAGTGATTCCAATCTCTGGCCTCTGGCAGGAATTTGGCAGGTACACCACACATCCCCAGAGAAGCAGGGCCAGGTGGAAATTCATTATGGTGTTAGCATCTAGCATCCTGTGCCCAGGAGTCTAACCCTGACAGGGCTCTAACCTGGCAGTCCTCTTTGCTCAATGTGTATCCTTACACACCTGGTCTCCCTGGCTTTCTTTTTGTTTCCGAACATGAGTCTCCAGATTTACAGCTGATTCTGTGAGCTGTCTTCTTTCTATCCAGTCAAATTCTGGCCCCAGTTCCCAAAGTTGGTGTGTTGTTTGTTTGACAGGCCCTGTAGATACTTCCATGAGGGTTCGGATGTTCACAGATATAAATCATTACCCAACATCCTAAATCAGGTACATGTCTAAGCCAGGATTTAAGTTCCAGTTTACAGGCTTCAAAACCATTTAAAAAATTTTTGTAATGCAAAGTATTTTAAAAACATGTTTTTTATTGTATTAATATTGTCAAATTTGTGAGCACTCATCAGTATGCTGAGCGGAGGAAGAACAGTGCCGGTGTTCTACAGTCAGAACCCAACCGCCACGCTCTTTGTTACTTCTCCATAAACCGAATTGACTGTTTTTTGGACATATGTCAGTGTGATTTCTTTTATGTTGGTAGAAAAAAAGAATCCTCTTAGCTTTTCCTTCAGGTGACCTTGGAGACATTGCATTATTCCTAGCCACAAATCTTTCTGCAAGAGGATAAAGATGTTTCATGGTGAAGCTTATCTATTTGGCAGGCCTCCCTTGAAATTTTGACACTAACTTTTGTGAGGATAGGGTTTTTACCCTCCACGTAGAAAATGAGTCATTAATATCAGGAAAAA